GTGTGTGTGTGTGTGTGTGTGTGTGTGTGTGTGTGGCCAGCTCAGCCCACCAGGGGGCGCTGCTGGCTGGCATGTGGTGCTGGGGAATCGAACCGCAGTTCGTGTGCTTTGCCAAGCTTGTTCCAAGTAGGTGCTTTAGACCACTGAGCCATCTCTCCAGCCCTAAACTTGCATTTATTTTGTGAGTAAAATTTTAACATTTTTTCATATTTCTTATTTACCTTTTCTGTTCTATGAATATTTTTTATATTGGTTCCCAGTTTTTACATTGATTTTTGATTTTATGAGTTGTTAGAATTCATTTTTCATGGCATGGGTGTCAGGAATCAAACTTGAGACCTTGTGCTTGTCAGGTAGGTGCTTATGCCTCTGAGCTGTCTCCTCACAATTCATATGTTCAAAGGTTTTTTCTGTTTCACCATTTGTTTCTTAAATTTGCTGATACTGTTTTGATAATAGAATTATTTTTTATTTGACCCATTTTTTTTCTTTAAAACAATATTTTATGCTCTTTATATATTTTTTCTTGGTCTTCTCAAGCCTGCCCAAAATAACTTGAATCTTTTTGGTTTGAGGCTCTTTGTGATTTGTTAATAAGTCTCTTATGTTTGGTTTTAGTTGGCTTTTGTTTTGATGAGGATGTGAATAGGAATCTAATTAATATTCTTGTAACTGGATGTAGGACTAATTCAGGATTGTAAGTTCTGTTGAGGCACAGATCATGTCTGATTTTATCATTGCTCTATGTCTAGATCCTGTCATATAAAGAAGCCCTCAAGGAATTTGTCATTTCATAAATATTTAACCAACAGAAGCCGGTAGAATGTATTGATTTGTAGTAGTAGTTTTTAGGGCATGCATCAGAATTATCTGGGGAGCTTTTCCAGTGAACAAAGCTCCAACTGCATGGGAAATATTATAAAGAATCAACAACTGGAATCTTGTCTTGTTAAAAATTTTTGCACAACAAATAAACAGAGTGAAAAGGACAACACACAGAATGAGACAAATTTTAGCCAGTTGTTCCTTAGACAAAGGACTAATATGTAAAACATATAAAGAATTGAAAAACCAGACCACCCCCAAAGTTAAAGACCCAGTCGAAAATAGGCATCTTAGATAAGTACACACTTCGAAATGGCAAATAAATACAATCAAAATACCCGAAGGATGCAAATTAGAACAACCCTGAGAGTCCTCACTCCAGAAAGAATGGCTATTATTTTTTATTTTTAATTTTTTTTATTTTTTATTTATTTGAGAGAGAGAGAGAGAGAGAGAGAGAGAGAGAGAGAGTGAGAGTGTGGTGTGTGTGTGTGTGGCCAGCTCAGCCCACCAGGGGGCGGGGCTGGCTGGCATGTGGTGCTGGGGGATTGAACCGCGGTCCCTGATGCTTTGCCAAGCTTGTTCTAAGTAGGTGCCTTAGACCACTGAGCCATCTCTCCAGCCCCAAGAATGGCTATTATTAAGAAGTCAACCAATAACTGCTGCTGGCAGGATTGTAGGTAAAAAGGAATCTTCCGCTGTTGATGGGAGTGCAGACAGGTGCGACCGCTGTGGAAATTAGTGTGGAGATTCATAAAAAGAAAACTAGGACCAAAGGTCCCACTTGACCCAGCTCTTTCACTTATTGGTATCTTTCCAATAGAAGTAAAAGCATCAAATCACAGCAATATATGCACATTCATTTTTATAGCAGCATTTGTAATAGCTAAATGTTGGAAACAACCCAATATCCATCATCTAAAGAATAGGTTAAAAAAAGATGTGGTTTAATACAGTGGAGTACTTCTCAGCCATAACTAAGGATAAACTTGAGACATTAATAGCTAAGTGGATGGAACTTGAGACCATACTACTTAAAAGAAATAATCAGACAAACATATAAATATCACATTGTCTCTCTGCAAAGTGTAAATAGGAGCCAAAATGTGTGGTGGATATTGTGAAATAGGAAGAAATTCAGAAGGAAAGGGAAACTAGGGAGTGGGAAAGGTTGGAAGGAAAAAAATGAGAAACGAAGGATAAAATGGAAACAAAGCTTTGTAAAAGAAGAGTTGAAGAACAATTTTTTTTATTTTTAATTTATTTTTTTTTGGCGGAACTGGGGATTGAACTCAGGCCCTAGCACTGAGCCATCTCCCCCGCTCTGGTGAAGAACAATTGAGTAGGGGAATGGGAAAGAAAGGAGGAATCGGATATATCATACATAGGCACAAATTCCCTATGATGAATGTGATCATTATTTATTGTATTTAAATGGTACCAGTATCTTGCTGGTTTCAAATAGAATGCTTTGCTATTATACATGTTTCTGTAATACAAATTAGATCATCAATATATGGTAAGAAAATGATACCAATATAATGTAGAAGTTCTGATGGTTCAGTAGAATTTTCTTTTGTGCATTAATGTATCAAGTTCTTGGGAATAAGCTGTCTCATGATTAAGGAATCATCACAGCATATGATAACCTTAAAGAAGTTTGAAAATTCTACATTTAGTCTTTCTTTGTTAAAAATAGTAGTTGGTTTATTGAATTCAAAAATTGCTGTGACTTTCACAGTATTAGTGAAGGTGTGAATGTTGAGGACAGTATAAAAATATTTTCCCTTATAATTTTCATTTCTAAAGATTAGTAAAAACTGTTGCATCAAAGTAGGATTTTTTAAGTGGGAGGGGGTCGTGATGTCTTCTTGAGACAGGGTCTTGCTATGTCAGGCCTTACATGGCTCACTTTGTGGCCCAGGCTGGTCTTGAACTTGCCATGATCCTCCTGCCTCAGCCTTCCCAGTGCTGGGATTACAGGTATACACCACCATGCACAGCTTCCAATTAGTATTTTTTTATGTTGAAGAAACATTCTGTTTTCTTCTGGAAGCCAGTTATCTCGAGATTTTAATTCTTATCATGAATATATAACATAGGGGGATTTAGATAAGATTGGGCGCATTCATGGTGGTATGACTGTAGACTAGTACAGAGATCTAGGGTGCCAGTGATTGAGTATATGCTAAATGCAGATGATACTGGGATTTAATTTTTTTTAATGCTTTCCTTATAGATTTGTATACAGTTTAGAGTTTAGCCATGTTATTTTTATGTTTTAGCTGAAATCTAAACTTTGGAACAGTTTTCTAGGTATCTCCTTTGCTCATACTTAGTTTAGAACTACTGATTTTTTAGTCATTATTTAATACAGTTTAGTTTTTTATAATCCCACACACTTTATTCTAAGCTTCTTACAGTCTAAGGAAAACTGGAACCTTCTTTTTTGGAGGGTGGAGGTATACTGGGAATCAAACTGGGCAGGCACTGTGCCACTGAGTTCAATCCCCAGCCCCAAAACCCTTAATTTGAAATTCATCAATTTTATTTATTTAAGTTTTGGTTTTTTGACACAAGATTTTACTATGCATTTCAGGCTGACTTTGAATTCACTTTGTAGTCCACAATGGCCTCTGTCTCTCAGCAGTCCTCCTGCTTCAGCCTTCTGTGTGCTGGGATTACAGGACTGTGCTACCATGCCCAGCTCATCTGTTTTAAAATACTGTTCATATCTTTACTTCAAACTGGAAATTGTGGGTGAATGCATATTTTGAGAATAGTAGATGTTGAGTGGAGGGGCTTTTATTGTTTCATTCCAGTAGGTGGAATGGGATAAGATTTTCCTTTTTTTTGGAGTGTGGGTGAGAGTCAAATGAGATGATTTTCTTTTGCTAGAGGCACATTATATGTGTAGTTGGGGTGGGGGCGACAGACATAGTTGCCCTTTGTCCTTTATGAATGTAGGTCCAGGGGTAATATCAGTGGGAGTTCTTAACGCAGTTTTTCTGAATTCTGTGCCTCAGTTTTAATCCTTAGAAAATCTGAAAAGCTTTTTTTATTTTTAAAGCTGGGAAACAAACCCAGGACCTCACATATGCAAAGCATGGGCTGTATCACTGAGCTGTGATCCTAGTCATTACATTTTTTGAGAACTTTTGGCCTTATCGTAGCTAGTAAGATGGGTAGACACACAGGTTTTACCTAGGGCGGTTATAGCAAAAAGAACTTCTGGTGATTACAGCCCATAGTAGAGTGTGTGCCATAGGTTTGCCACCATTGGCACTATTTCCAGGCCTACTCATTCAGACATTTTGAAGAGTCCCTACAAAAAAATAGCTAAGAATTTAGTATCCTCTTTTGTCATGACAGCACTATTATTTTCCAGAAATTCTCTGCAGTGTCATTACATATTATTATACTTAACAGCTGATCAGCTACCTGGCTGCCTCATGCTTACTCTGAATAGCTTTTTGTTTTTGATCTATTCAGAATAGTGAATAGTTTAAACTATACAAGTGGTATATATATATTATGTGTATTATTTGCATATATATGTGAATATGAAATTAGTGCCAAAAGACATCTTTTTGATAAGCTGCTTACATGACTCTGCTATACTTTAAATTTCATTTGTTCCATTAAAACAGTTCTTGTTTTTGTTTGGATTTTTGAGATAGGGTCTCATGTAGTTCAGGCTGGCCTTGAACTCAACTCATGGCAGTCCTCCTGCTTCAGCTGTGGAGTGCTATGTCTGGCTCGTAAGACAGTCTTGACTTTTAACATTGGTTATTAGTGAGAAATAAATTGTTGCCTTAATTTTCTTCTCTAAAGGATTCAGCATTTGGAGGCAAACATGAAGCCCCATCTTCTCCAGTCTCTGGGCAGCCATGTGGAGATGATCAAAATGCTTCACCCTCAAAGCTTTCAAAGGAAGAGTTAATACAGAGTATGGACCGTGTCGATCGAGAAATTGCAAAAGTAGAACAGCAGATCCTTAAATTGAAAAAGAAACAAGTAAGTGCTTGTTGTTAACGTTTATTATAATGTATTCTACAATATGTGCTTATCTCCATAAAGAGAATAATGTTCAATTTTCCATATGGATTCTTATATAAAAAGAATTATGCCTTATATATTCCATGACTTGCTTTTTTTGCTATTAGTTTGCTTAGTTTTATGCATTCACTTCTCTTGCTGTATCCTTTGATTGTATGCACTTTGGTTTTACTAATACCAAATTTGTGAAAATGGTAGTAACATTTTATACTCCCATTGACATCATATATGTCTACCAGTTTGTGCATATGCTTGCATTTATTTGATGTTTGTTTTCATTTGGTTTTGAAATAGCTCTATTTTAATTTGCATTTTCTTGATTGGGAATGAGGCTGAGTTTATTTTTGTTTGTGGATTGTTTTTTGTGTACATCATTCCAGTTTTATGTCCATATTCTTTGTTTTTTTTGTACTTTAAAGATGTTTATTAGTATATGTTTGTAGTACATAATGATTGCACTCAGAGTGGGGCATTGGTCCATGGATATAACATACAACACATTTTCCATTTCTTTTTAGGTCCATTTCTCTTCTCCCTCCCATTTCTTGGTCCCATTGTCCATATTGTCTTATTTCAGTGCTGTTTAATTTCAAGATTTCCTAAAGTCTATTGTCAGTTATGTGTGTATTAGATATCACCTTAATTTGTAGTTTGTCTTTTTTTGAGACAGGGTCTCACTAAGTAGTACAGGCTGAACTTGCAGTGATCCTCTTGCCTCAGCCTCCCCAGCACTGGAATTAGAGATATGTGTTACCATACCAGCACACTTCTTTTTTTTCAAAAGCTTGTTTTTTAAAAAAATTGTATTTATGTATGTATGTATGTATGTATGTATGTATGTATTATATATTTAGGACAGGGTCTATAGGGTCTACATGGTCTCACTACACAGATCTGACTTGTAGTGATTCTCCTGTTTTCAGCCTCCTTACTACTGGGATTACAGGCATGCTCCACCATGCCCAGTCTCAATTGCCCTTTCAGTGCACCCTGGGGGCAGGGCCAACACAGCTCTCTGGGGATCAAGCCTCAGTCACCGTGCTGTGCCTAAGCAGGGACTTTAGTCCGCTGAGCTATCTGCCGGCCCTTTCAAAAGCTTGTTCTTGAGGGTGGAGTTTTATTTTTTAAGGGACAGATGGTCTCAGTTACTTTCCTCTTGTTGCTGGTAAAATACAGGCACCCAGAATTAAGGAAGGAGGAGTTTATTTAGCTCATAGTTTGTGGAGGTTTTAGTTTGTAATCAGCTGGTTCTAAGGCAGTGTGGCACATGGCAGAGGGCAGCTGTTCATAGTGGCAAAAAAGCACAAAACACAAAAAACTCCCAGCAAAAGAGCAAGAGCAAAATGGAAAGAGCAAGTGGTAGCAGAGAGCAAGCCTCTTTTCCTCCCTATATTGCATTCAGGCTATCTGCCCCAGTGTGGATGTCACACTTAGATCCATATTCCCAGCATTGAATCATCAATCAGTCACAGACTCTAGAAGTCTGCCTCATCACTGCATGAAGCTTTCAGGGGGACAACTAGACACAAACCATAACCCAAATCATGTTATGTTCCACAGACTAGTCCTGAACTCTTGGGCTCAAATGATCCTCCTGCCTCAGTTTACAAGTAGCTGGGTCTGTGGGCATATACCACTTCCCCTAGCTCTTGAGCATACATTTTAAAAATTGAGATGTAATTCACATTTGAAAATAGAATTTAATTTTGAAAGCATATAATCGGTGTTATCACCACTAAGTTTAGAATATTTTTATCACTTTTTTAAAAAGTCCTTTGTCCTAAATACCCATTTGAAGTTATTCCCAATTTTTTTCTGTTCCCATGTCCAATCACTCATCTATGTGATCTATGATTTTGTATTTATGATTTTTCTTATTCTAGACAGTTCAGATAATCTATGACCTTTTGTGTTTGGTTTCATTTACTTAGCATGCTTTCAAGATGCCTCCATGTTCTGTTTTTAGTTGTATGCCTAAATAATATTCTATTGCATGAATATTAGATACTTTATTCATCCATTAAATATTGACATTTTATACTAGCTTTTGTGTGACTGGCTGGCTTGTCTTCCTTCCTTCTCCCTCCTTCTCTTTCCCTTTCTCTTTCCCTTTTCCTTTTCCCCTTCCCCTTCCCCTTCCCCCTTTCTCTCCTTCCTTCCTTCCTTCCTTCCTTCCTTCCTTCCTTCCTTCCTTCCTTCCTTCCCTCCTTCTTTCCTTCCCTCCTTCCCTCCTTCTCTCCTTCCCTCCTTCCTTCCCTAGTAGTGGAATTCCTGGGTCACATGGTAAGGTACATGTTTAAATGTATTAGGACCTGCCAAACTGTTTCCCAATGTGGCTCTGCTATTTTACATTCCTATTAGCAGTTTGTTAGGGCTCTATGTTTTCTATTTCCTTACTAACATGTATTATCTTCCCTTTTGTGTGTGTATTTAGGTATTCTTGTAAATGTGAAGTATTTCATTGTGATTTTGATTTATATTTCTTTAATGACATTACAGTGTCTTGTCATGTGCTTATTAGGCCATTTGTATTTATTTTTTAAGAGAAATGTCCATTTATATCCTTCATTTATTATTTGTTTTTTTTATTTTTATTGTTCAATTTTGAGAGTTGTTATATTTGTATTTTGGATACTAGGACCTGTATGTTGTCTTTTAACTTCCTCGGTAAAATCCTTTGATGTACAAAAGTTCCTATTTTTATTGATACCTAATTTATTTTCTTTCAATTACTTGCGCTTTGTGTATCATATCCTAAGAACCATTGCCAAATCCAAGGTCACAAAGATGTACATCAGTGCTTTCTTATTGTATTTGGGTTTTTTCATTTGAATTTTGTGGGGTTTTGTTTTGTTTTGTACTGGGAATCAAACTGAGGAACTTACACTTGCCAGCAGGCACTGTGCTACTGAGCTACATCTCTGGCCCTGAATTATGGTCTTAAGTGAAAAAAATTTCTTTAGGTTTTATATGAGTGAGGCAGTTTCTTTTCTTCTTTAAAGTTTCATAGTTTTGCTTCTCACATTCTTTAATTCATGGAAAATTGATTTTTGTATCAGTCAAATTATGTCAATTCACTTTTTTACTATATTGATAATTAATTGAATAGACCATTCTTTTCCCAACTGTTCTGTAATATTGGCTGCATTGTAATTCTTTTTTAAAAATGTTTTTATTTATTTATTTATTTTTGGCGGAACCAGGGACTGAACTCAGGCCCTCGCACTTGCCAGGGAAGCGCTTATTCTACTGAACCATCTTCCCGGCCCCTTGTTTTTATCTGTGTATGGATTGATTTCTGGGCTTTGGGTTTCCTTATATAGGTCTGTCTTTGAAATATTGATGCATAAATACAACAGATTCTCCTAATTATTAGAGATTTACGATTACTGTCCATAAGCAAAACCCACTATAAGCATATTTTAGCTACTTTTAAAGTTTTACGTTCAACTTTTAGTATATGTTGTTTGGTTCTCCAGAAAATGTTTGTGGAATTTTAATTGGAATCATGTAAAATACAAAGATGAGAACAATATCTCTGTAATATTCAGTCTTTCATGGTATAAACGTGGTATATCTTCCACTTCTTTAGAAGTGTTTCATGTTCTTTTGTCTGTAAATATCTTTTATGCTACATGGTAGATTCACCCTTTATATTTTTTATGCTTTTGTGTATATATGTTGCTAAAAATGACATTTTTGTGTTGCATGTAACTTTTTATATTTATCAGCCAATTCCTTTCAGGTTTTTTTTTTTGGTATTTTAGGGAGGGGCCTAGGGTCTCACTACTGGATCAGAGTTATAGTGATCTGCCTGTTTACAGCCTCCCAAGAGCTGGGATTACAGGTGTATGCCACTACGCCCAGTCTCAGTTACTGTCTCATTGCACCCTATGGGCAGGACCAGCAGAGCAGGCCCAGGGATCAAACCCCAGCCCTTGCTCCTTTCAGTTACTGTTTTACTGCTAGTGGTTTATTTGTAGATTCTTTTGGGTTTTCTGTGCATGTTTGTAGTGGTTATATTAACACTTTTAAAAATGAGTATTTTGTTTCTTTTCAGTTTTTATTTCATTGCTTTACTTTTCTATTGCCTTACTGCTCAGATTATAACTAATAAAACACTTAAAATTGTCAGTAATTTTTTAGAGTACAAGTTAGAATTAAAACAAACAATTGCAAGGGATACAGATTTTCACTTAACAAAGTACTATGAATTTCACAGTATTTGTTGTAATACATAGTGTTGTCTTCCAAACAGTTATTCGTATTACCAGATACATGCATGTAAAATTGGAAGAAGAAAAAAAGAAAAAAGTATAAGAAATTAAGAAGACAAAAAGGAGAAACAATTGAAAAAAAGAGATGAAACAAATTAAAGCATCAACTGATTTTTTTCCATAGACCAGCAGAAATGCATAGTACAGTTGTCCATACCTTCTTGCTTACATACATAGATAAATCTCTTTCCCCCACTGCCTCTCCTATCCATCTACTCAACTCAGTAACTTTCCTTTTGAACAAGTTAATTCCCTTTTACTAGTATCTGTTATACCCGTCAGATTCCGTTTTTGTCTTTCAGGTTCTCACACAAGGAACTCCTGGCCCCTGCACCTGCTTGCAGGTGCTTTAATCCGCTGAGGTGTTTGGCCGGCCCATCACATGTCCATTTTTGGATTGGGTCTTTGAATTTGGGGTCTTGATTTTCTTTTAATTCTTTGTATGTTCTAAGATAGAAGGCAAAGCTTTGTCTAGGGGATAGTCAGCTATAGTTTTTTCCCAGCTTGTTGATTTTCATTTTGCTCTGTTGGATATGTGCTTCGAAGTGTAGAAACTTTTCGAAAAGATGAGGTCCTAGTTGTTGATTCTTTGAAGTATTTCCTGTGCAGTTTGGTTTTTATGAACTACCTACCCCTATGTCTTTAGGATTTCTACCTATATTTTCCTGCAGAAGATTTAGT